AGCCTAGCCCAGCAATAACAATAACCCAAACACTAGTAGAACCGAAGATGCTAATTACATAATCACACCCATACATATATATATATATATACATAAAATATAATATTAACTTTAACTATTTGACACAAACGTCCCATCAATTTATATACTACATATATGAAATGTGTATAACTGAAGAAGATTAGGAAAAGGTTTCAGTTGCTAACTAAGACGGAGGATAGCTATGCCCGCAATGAGCAAAAAGAGAAATAGTAGAGTCAACCGTCAACCATTTCGAAGGTTTCTAAATGTTGTTTCCTAAAATTAAAGTAATATAACTACTACAACTATGCATAATGGTAGGCAGGAGTCGGAAGCGGAGCCGGAGAAGGAGCACGACCATGTGCAGGAGCAGGAGCAGGAGCAGGAGCCGCCACAGCAACAGTCACCCACAACTACTACTCATACGAAGAAGGTCGTCACACTAGGTTTTAGTTTTATGTTTACCAATCTTAGATCGTAGTTCTTAACAGATATGTTCTGCAGAGTAAGCGAAGGAAGGATACGGAAGGGCTACTCAACCAACTACAAAGAAATTTTCATATACCTCAAATGCATTTCAGTTTTATTGTTGATTGCTTAATTTTAATCTACGTAGACCGTTAGCACATATACATTTAATTTTGATGTAATCGGTTCCAAGAATAATTCAACGATAGCTGTTTTTTTTTGTACTATTATTATTATAATTATTAATATTGTGTTCTCCCATTCTTTTTGTCCAGATTTGATGATGATCCTATGTCCTAGGCTAAAGTTTATTTAGAATTAGCTCGAACCACTTGAAACCACCTCAATTTCTTGTTAAGCTTGTTTATATTTATATGGTCAAATGTTTATTTTGTAAACCCTAGTTGATATGAGATGGCTATAAAACAACAACAACAACAAAAAAAACCATATCACTGAAAATCTAAAAAAAGGAAGAAAAAAAGAAAGAAAGTTGTTCGGATTAATATGTAAAAAAAACATTTATTTTATAATAATACCTCTTAACCTTCTGCTCAATTGGCAAGAGATTTGAGAATTGAATTAATTACAATTTCAGGGTATAATTATCGATTATCTTGCTTCTTGATTACAATAACCAAAACGTCCTCGCAGAGACGGCAAAAGTAATTAATTTTAAACATTTTGTGATAGACAAAATTATATGTTTCGGCACAAAATTAAAAAAAATACCTATAATAGAACGAGATATAAAATTAAAAAAAAAAAAATCAATGTGATATTTTCGGCACAAAACTTTACATAAATAACTAAAGAACCATATAATACAAGAGGAAAATTACAAAATGAATGCAAGGAGAAGCAACATTTTCGGCAAAGGTTGCTTGCCTTTCGCATATTTATTTAGGAAAAGATCTTTTGTTATAGCATTATTATTCAAAATTGTTATCTTTCGGTCCAAAGCACAAAATGTATAAAATTACTTTCTAGTTTATCCCTACAATTACTCCTACTTTAACTTTAAACTACTTACTTGATTTCCTAGTTTTAAGTTACGTGCTCTGTTTCGTATGTACGCATCTGCGTGTGTATATAATTCATTCAAAAATATATGTATACATCATAATTTTATTTAGTTTTACATTGATTGAGTTTGCGAAACTTGAAGCCAATAAACTACAGCAAATATTCAGAAAACAAAACAAAAAAAAAACAGCACAGATGTTAAGGCAAAACCAACACTACTACACACAGATTTATGTACCAAAAATGTAATAAATATGAAATTATATAAAAAACAAAAACAAAACGAGAAACAAGCAGCAAGAAACCAAAATCAAACCAAATCGGAGACGATGGATTTTTCTAAACTTTTATCCCACATACTTAAGCGTAAACACGAAATATTTTTGTACATCCATGTTGTAATCAACCAAGAGTCGCCCGAGATCCGGGACTGGAGAGGAGAGGATTAGGAGGGTTGCTCTGTGGCATCAGGACTTGGACATGAATCCCATCTACGCGAACGGAAGGAACAACGCCGAGTTGTTACTTACATTTTTGCTCTACACTCACACAAAACTCAATTAATCAATATGCAAATGCAAGCACACATGTGTCGGAGTGCAAATATTATTAACAGTTTTTCGTCGTCTACCAGTTTAAATAAATCAATCCATAAAGATCTATATATACACATATATATATATATCTCAACCGGAATATATGTACACATATGTATGTATATCTCAAATTTATTCAAATTAAAATCCAAATATAATTCACTAGCAGCATTTAAATGTCAAGCAAAATAATAGCAAATAAAACCAAATAAAATTTATGATTATTATTATTACATATACCAATACCAATATCGTTTCATATTCTCTCTATCGCTCTCTGCCCTTCATGACCACGTCCCTACTTGGAAGCACAATTCAAATCGTTAGGTTTCGGGATTGGATTGGGATTCGGATGGGATTGGGATTGGAATGGGGTTTTGGGTGTCCGGAGGCCCCTTTAAGGGTGAGGGTTGCACGTTGCGTATGAGCAATATTACTTTTCAGGCAAAACAAACAATTGAACCACTCACCCGCTGGGCACAAAGTAAGTACTTGATGTGTTGCGGTAAGTAAAGCGAATAATTGAATGACCGAAACACTCGAGTCGTGCATTTGTTTGCCAATTAAGTTAAGATTATTTATTTTATTGCATTTTTATTGCCGATGTCCCTTGCTGTTTGCAATCTCAAAAATGTTTGACAAGGAAAACAAAGTAATGGCTTAGTTTAGAGAATAAATCATAAAGGCTTTTTCGGGCAGCAGAATCTTGTATAGACTAGCAGCTTGCAATTGAATCCACTAACAATCGAACCATTTTGCAATCGAACTTTTATTTATTATCATAGTCCATTATATTATTAATTATATTGATCGATTCATAAACAGCGCCTTAATGTAGTCCTTAAGTATTCATTAAATTAATGTAAAAATTCTAGTACCATAAAATAAATTATTTAAAGTATATGAAAATATGTAGATAATGAAAAAAATAGTTTTTCTTTTAAGAGGTTGACACACGAACGGCCGTTTTAAGGACTTCTATTTAATCTTTTTTTTTTTTAATTCCGTCCTGGTATTAAGTAAATTTTCGAGATAATGAGTGCCATAGTACTACACTGAAAAAGATGCTGTCATGGTTCAAGACGATCGAATAGGAATTTTTTGAGAAATCTTGGAAAAACATGGTTGCAAGAAAAACGCATTTAAAAGTTTAATTTCGAATTACATCTTGGAATCGTGCCCTGCTATTAATCCAAGATACAGGTACCATAGAAAACACCTCTTCTTCGATTAAATCGATTAATGCTACATGGCTGCTCCTGGGAGCCATCAGGACTGGCGACATCGGATAAAAAACGTAAAATATTCTTAATTGTTTGAATGAAAGCTATAAGTTATAGTGATCTAATCTAGAAAGTTTGTATTCAGAATCTTCCTATAACTACGAATTTGAAATTGGATAGGTTTAAAGTTGATACATCAAAAATAGAGGTATCTAATATAGTTTTACGTAAAAGAATTGTTCTTCAAAATAGAGATTCGATCCGAATATCCGAATACATATATATTGTAATATATATATTACAAGGGTTAAAGAAGCGTTTCATTAATTAATCAAAAATTTTCTGTTTTTTGAAACTGATTTATGGATCAACCCAATTAATTTTCCATCTCCATAATTTATGTAGTCGGCCGATGTGCTCGGTTCTTCATGGAAATAAAGAAATAAAATTCCATCAGATACATCTGAAAATTCTTAGAGTTAAAATATATTTTCTTTGCTGTGTTGCAAATTTTTAAATAAAATTCAAATAGAATAATAAATATAAATTTTAAATATGTAATAAATAAACCATTATTATTATTATTATTCTTTTAATGAAAACAGCGCCATTAAAAATACTTTTGTAGGTTAACAATATGTTTATCCTAAAAGTAGTATCGTCCATAGTTTATATTACAAGAAAAGGAAACAGTGTTTATAATAGCCGAGTATACATGTCTTTCATTCTTTTGGTTTTAAAGAGAACTATCAAAAATCATATGGATTCTAAATTGAAAGGAACTAAATGGACTCGGTTGATCCAGGTGCTTTCAGCCACAACATTGGCAGCCCATGCGGTGCTTCTCCTCAGTAGATCGCATAGCTTCTCATTATCGAGATCTTATATACAAGTTGATTGAACAAAAAGACTTATCTCTCATTTAGTGTTCAATCTTAAAAAAAATAGAAAAACTACAATCCAAATATTAAAGAGAACACCAACAATTTCCATGATAAAATAACTGCAGCTTTGAGTTTCAACAAATCATAAACTATTTACCTTACATTAAAAATTAAATTCATTATGGATTTTTTAAAAGCCGAATATATATTACTGTTTACCATTTTATAAAATATATGATAGGCTATGAGAAATCTATGGCATTGGTTTTACTTGTTAATGTTGTAAAATATAAAACAGTACAAAACCTGAATTATTAATATATATGTATATATAAAGTTTTAAATTGTTAATCGTCTACTATGTTATCTGCATCTCCAAACATAAAATACGGTTATACGATATTCGAAACAATCTTTTCCTTAATGAATTTTTTTGTATGCCTTGTTTTCAGAATACTTAATTTTTAAAGCCCATTTTCCATTGTTAAGAAATATAGACAAATTTATTTTCCCTTAACCTTTCCGGGACAATTTTTTATATGTCAAAATATTATATTTAAAAATGCGCGCACTTCCAGATATGGTTCGAGTCAGCGCTGGTAAGCCAAGCTTCCTACCAAGTCAAGTTCTATGTCAAATGACAATTTCCCTTCGTCATGTAAAATTCGATCAAAGTTTCACACCTTTTCATCAAAGTTATCCACCTTGTCCGATAGTCTCAATGAGGCCTTTGGTCACTTGACAAACGAAAATAGTGGGAATATTTTCGCAAGCCTTCCATGGTCACATTGGATAAAAGAAAAACAGAGAAAGACCGAAATTAGCGGGAAGTGCAGAAAAATCGCCAAAATTTTCACGCGCAACTATTAAGAACCAAAAACAGCGTAAGTAGGAAAAATGTGGAACCCAATTGCAACGCCAAACGTATTGCGCGATGCGCCAAAAATTTTTGCATAAATTTTGTGAAATTTTGAGCGCCTGTGTGAGTGTATGTGTGAGTGTTTGTCTGCGAGAGTGTGCGACCCGAGTGCAGCTATATGTGAGTGTGTGTGCTGGTGTTGAAAAAATCTATCTCTTCGCTACGCATTTCACCCCCCGTTTTTGCGTATTCATTTGATCTCTCTTCCTCTTCTTGTGTATCAGCGTAGCCGCCTGCGTTAGTGATTGTGTGTGTGTCTTCGGTCTTTGCTTTCGTTTTTTAATTCTTTGTTTATATTTACGTATAGTTTGTTTGGCGTCCCGCACAATTGTTGTTGCCCGACTTGGGATGCTCTTTCCGCCTAGATCTGCGCCGAAGTAAATGAGTGCCCGAGAGCTTTCCCTTGCCGTCTGCCTCTGCACTGCCCCCACACACACAGCCGTTAATCACAGTGCCATAATTTTTTATGAACTGCAAGCAGACAATCCGTATATCCGTATCTTTTGGATTTCGTATTCTATATTTTAACATCGCGATAGGTTTTAAAAGGGCTCTCAAGTCAGGATAGCTTTTTGATTGGATAAAGATTCAGTAATTTAAAAAAAAAATTGTGACCAGTTTGTTAAAATTTATAATACGTATTTTTCGGAAACATCTTTGCGGCTAAAATATTGTAGATTATTAAAATAATTTATCTGATACCTTTCGGTTTTTTTACCATCAAATTAAAAAATTCAATCGTTGGGCTTAATGGAATATTTTATTAAAACACCAACGATTTGAAATGAAAATTGAAATCATGTCAATATATAGTAGGTTACAAAGAGTTAGACCCAACAAGACTAAAACTTGCATGGATTTGCGTACTTCTGGATTACTTCCAATATTTTAGTTATTATATCTAAATTTTAAAGTCTCAGACTTTCTGAGAGATATTTAACATTAAAAAGTATAACTAATTTATTGATTTACACTATTACGAGTGACATAACTGATCAGATTGCCATGTGGTATTGATTTTCAGCAATTTCACAAGTTTTTAAAGCATCCGTTTCCTCTGCTATATTTCAGTCTTTATCTGTAATATTAGGATTCCATATCTGTTGTCCATATTGCACCTGTCCCAAGGTGATGTCTTGATTACTCTTGTTCATAATTTTGACGTAAATTACCGCATTTAGAACCGCGGGTAGCCGCGGCAGGCACTTGCTCGCATTATTTATGAGCCGCCTTCCCATACATGGGGGATCTTCATCCGCACTGCCTCTGGATTTCCCGCTCAATCGCTCTCTCTCTGTATCTCTCGCCGCCTTCTGGGAAGTCTTCCCTCGAAATAGTTTTCCTCAGTTGAATTTTGGCGCCCGCGTGGATAAGTCGTTCAGACGGAAGGAACATCGTGCGTCTGGGCTTTGGAAAATGTGCCGTGCAAAGGCGTTCGTTTATTTTTAGCCAACGTGCCGATATTTCCACACTCCCAGTGCTCCAAATTGGACCGACAATCGACAACTGCCAAATTAATTGCAGATGAAAGGCATCGTTTGCCCGTGTGGCTTCAGGGAAGAGTTCCAGAGACCTTCAGCATCCGTGGAATCGATTATATAACCCAGGAACGATTAACGATAATGCCCAGTAAATTTCAGAGGAAAAGCTCCCCAGCCACAGGAGGAGGTGGAGGTGTAGCAGTGGGAGTGGGAGGGGCGTCCTCCGTTTCCTCCACGCCCAGCAATCAGCCAAGGAAGCGGGTGAAACGATGCTGCCGGAACTTCGTCACCTTTATGTGCACACAGGTGGGCGTGGGCGCCCTCATTGTGTTCTACGCCATCTGCGGCGCCTTCGCATTTATGCACATAGAGCGGCAGTTCGTGGACGAGACCGCCGGCCATGTGATTGAGCTACGCCAAGACTGCTCTCAACAGCTATGGCGGATCACGGAGGAGCACAACGTCGTTGATCGCCTACGCTGGACCGAGGCGACAAATGCCGTGCTGCAGGACTACCAGGTCAAGATAGCTGGCGTCATCAAGCACGGATATGTGGGCCGGAGTCCTGAGCAGATCTGGAGCTTCCCGGCCGCCTTGATGTTTTGCCTTTCGGTGATAACCATGATCGGTTACGGGAATATGGTGCCCCGAACGCCGTGGGGCAAGGGATTGACCGTGATCTATGCCACCTTTGGCATACCCTTGTACATTCTGTACTTTCTGAGCATGGGACGGGTGCTGGCGCGCTCCTTCAAGTTCCTCTACCGCTCCATGCACGACTGCACCCAGGAGCATCCAGGTCTGGATCGCCTGGATGCTCTAGAGGGTGGTGTTAACCTGCCCCGCAAGAAGGTTATTGTGCCCTCGACGGCCTGTCTGTGGGTTATTTTCTTCTACGTACTCACCGGCACCGTCATGTTCGCCAACTGGGAGAAATGGAGCTTCCTGAACAGCTTCTACTTTTGCATGACGTCGCTGTGCAAGATCGGTTTCGGTGACTTTGTCCCGGGAGCCTCGCTTACCACCGCAGCCGACGTCAACGCCGCCACGCACAAGTTGCAGGAGGACATAGGCGCTGATCCGGAAGAGTTGGCCCAGCTGCAGTCCGTGGCCGCCGATCAGCACTCGAAGCTGGCCATCAACTTTGTGTACATGCTGCTGGGCATGGGCCTGGTGGCTATGTGTCGCAACCTGATGCGCGAGGAGGTCCGGATGAAGATGCGCGAGATGCGTGAGGACGCCAAGCTGTGCATGGAGGACACGAGGCTGCGTTTTGTCGGTTGCTGCGGGAATCCCCGGGATGCCTACGAAAGCGATTACTATTAGGGTCACTACGAGGAGTAGGCGGATGTTAAGTTTGATGTTTTTGGATAAACAATCCGCTATTCACGTTAAGTTTTTTAACTTGACTATCAGGACCTTTTTGTTGGCTTTAGATTATGTATCTTATTTAGGAGAACTACGAATTTAGTAACGATAGGGCTTTATACAATCTGTTAGATATAAAATGTGTATGAGTGCAAAGTGTGTTAAATGTGTCTTACTGTGTGAACACATCCCCAACGGCATCAAATGTAATCCAATCCGATCCTGCAGCTCACCATTGATCAATTCCTGCAACTGCAAGAGCGGATCCGTAACTTCGAGGGAATGCTTGGCGGCGGCAGCGGGGAGCGTTTGTGCACGCCAAGCACTTCGGCCGGCCCCTTCCGCATCTTCTCTGTGGCCGGATTCCAAAACAGGGCCAATGACATCGTCTACTGCCCGCCAATTGTGCGCCAGCAGCAGTCGCAGCATGTGCCGGAGGACTCCACGGCCATTATCTACTTCGGCGGCGACGTTCAGGATTTTCCGGAGAGCATGGAGACGAATCGCGACAGCAGGGGCTACATGAAGTACAATCTCGAGAATTCGGCCATTCTGTTGCGCGAGGCTTTCCCCAGGTCCCACATCATCGTCATTCGGCCGGTTCGGTGAGTGTTTGATAAATTAATATATTATGTAATAATAATAATAATAATTTGCTACATTTTCACCATACAGCATGGAGTTCAAGACATTTAGCTGCTTCGATAATTTCGTGAGAGGAAACAATGCTGGAGTCCCAGATCACACTCCCATGAACCATGCCCTCCAGCATCTGGAAAAGTGAGTTTGAATACTGCCAGAAGCCATCACTTTACTACTTATGATTACACGTCCTTTCTCGTCCCTAGATTATTGCAGAATCTGTCGCAGCGCTTGATCTCCATACCCGAGAACGAGATCCTTGATCAGGCCGCACAGGCGGCGGCTGCAGCGGCGGCAGTGGCTGCTGCAGCTGCGGCCGCTGCCCTAACGCTATCTAATGCCACCGTCACCTCGGAGTCCAACTCGCAGTCGGCGCCCGCCTCCAACGACAGCAGTCAGGAAATGGATATAGACATACTGCAGGTGCAGGAAAATGTGACCGTGGATGCAGACGGGGCTGTCATATTCCCTATTGTTGGCAGCGAAGTGGCAGAGACAGTCAATAATGTCACTGGAAATAATGGAAACATTGGCGGCAGCAACGAGGCCAATACGAACAACCATCAGGAGGAGCAGGCGAACAATCAGATCCAGCAAACGCAACAGGCGGCTGCCATCAAGTTGACTTCTGCCACCAACAACGTCGAGCACTACAATAATGACTGTGCCACGAGGCAGGTTCCTGCAGTAAATGCAACTGCAGCGTCTGCGACGGCAACAACCACATCAACAGCAACAGCGGCGGCAACCAGCGACAGCAATCCACTTTGGTGGCGCGAGAACCTTAACCTGGACAAGTCCAAGCTGGTGCTGATTGGCTTCAGCAAGGGCTGCGTCGTGCTCAATCAAGTGAGTCGCGTTTGGTTCGTTAACTAGTTATGCCGGCGCTCCAATCCCGTTCAGAACTGAAGCATGAATCCATCAATCAGGGTCTGAAGGGGTTTTGGGAATCATTAGCTTGGTGACTATTAGCTAATCCTTCATTTTCCTTCGTTATTGCAGTTCATCTACGAGTTCCATTATTTAAAAACCCTCACGCCCGACGACAGCAGCATGTGCCGCTTGCTTTCCCGCATATCGGACATGTATTGGCTGGATGGCGGTCATGGAGGTCAGAAGAATACATGGATCACATCACGTAGCTTATTGGAGACGCTAACGCGCATGGGTAAGTGTAGAGAAATCATCGTTTCAAAACCTCATTGACCAACGGTTGGGACTCTTTAAGCAGGTATGAACATCCACGTCCACCTGACGCCCTATCAGGTGCAGGACGATCGACGGCCCTGGATCCGCAAGGAGGAGAAGCTGTTCACGGAGATGCTGAGGCGGCTGAATGCGCCGATCACCCGGCACCTGCACTATGACAACCAACCGGCCAACCTTATGACCCACTTTGAGGTGTTGCAGGCCTTTTGCCAGCACGTCCATGCCCTAAACCAGCAGCAGCAGCAGCTTCAGCAACAACAACAACAGCAGGGAGTGGGGATAAGCGACCAGTCGGCAGTGGCTACCAACAACGGCGGGACCAACAACAGTCTACTAGAAAGCGGCGAGGAGGCAAAGTGACAGCTGCAACTGCATCCGCACCACCATCACAGGCGTCGTTTGCATGCAATGCGCAAGGGAACTGCCGCCCTGAAGCGCCAACAGGTGGCCCAGCTGCGTCAGCATCATCAACAGCTGCTGGCTGCCGCACCGGAGCTAGCATTAGCCTCCTCATCGCGCCTGGCCGCGGCCCTGATCTCGTCGGCGGTGGCCCTGAGCAGCGCCTCCTCATCCGCCGCCGGGAGCATTGTAAATAATCATCATCACAGCCATATGCAACAACAGCAGCAGGAGCAGCTGCCTCAGCCACCGCAGACACGCCATCATCAGCATCACCAGCACTCCCACAGGCATCACCACCACCACCACTCGCACCACCATTCGCATCACCACTCTCACCATCAGTGTCGCTCGAAACGCAAACTGCAGAAACTGTATTATACGCTTTGCCGTTAGATCTGTAACTTAACTTTATCGAATGTATACTTGTACGAGAGACAGTTTCTTAGAACCACCATTAGCAAGCACCTAACTTTTCCCAGTCAATTCCAAAGTGTCGTTTGTATGTCTATTTTTTGTGTATATGTATTTATTTATTCCCATTTTTTTCTACTCTTACATCACGTCATTTTCGTAATTATTGGTCCTAAAAGTGAAGAAAAAATCTCATCAGTGCAATAATGTAGGTAGATACGTCTACAAGTATATATATATTTATACAAATATGTATGTGTATATGCTGATTTTAAAATCATCTCTATGTATACAAACACTCCAAGCTAATTTATTTGTAATCGAAAAACGATTTGTGATTTGCGCACATGAACTAAGAACACTTCGCAAGGCAAGCATCCTCCATTGACTCAAGCAATTATCGTTTTAAGTACCCCCAAGGAATTTATATGTACGTTGACGCAGTAATCTAACCAATCTTAGAACACCCCCCGACCCCACACAAAACCCCCCTCTGATTAAGTATTACTTAGCGTTAAGTGAGCTTTAAATTAAGTTGCAAACTGGCAAGGATCCCACGACAAAATGTACTTTACTTAGGACGACGATCCTCAGATTCGATTGCGCGAACTGAGGCCGAAGTAACAAATTCGCGAGAAGCCGAGAGATAAGCTCTCGTGTAGAAGGCGTTCGTGGTACACGTAGTTTTTTCTGATTGTGCTGGACAAGTCAAGGGAAAAGTACTCAATGTGGGAATTAAGTGAACTTTTGCCAAGTACGATCCAGATGCGATAAGTAATTGTAATGGCGCGCGTTCCTTATACCAAAGAGCTTATAATAACAAGATGCTTAACGACCATCATTTGAAATGTCAAATTCAACCGACAAAAAATTTTATAGCGTTATTAATTTTGTTATTATAGGGTCTTTGCTTATACACTATTTAATCGATATGGAAATCATCATTACCGCTTCCGCTTATCCAACAAACAGACAAACCGATCAAACACAAATCCAATTAAACTTATATAGTGCATAGAGAAACGAATAATAAATTACACAAAAATTTCGTACCTTTGTCGAATTTGCAGTTCAAAATTGCTTTACGAGAGTTTTGTCAATGTAAGTTGTACGGCTTAAAAGTTCACATACACTTTAGGCAAGAAATCTAATTAATAAATGGATACAGAGAATGATACAATGGAATGTGTTTTGTAGATGTAAATTAAACCATTATAAATGATAAAGAAAATCTGCTGCGAATTTGATACGAAACGGAAGAGAGTTCTAAGAAGAAAGTCAAGCAAATAAAATCTACTAAATAGAGAGTTCCCAATGTAAATTCTACTGATATTTGTGAGTCTGCTAAATAAAAAGCATATAATATGGATAAAAAGTTTTAAAATTAGTTATAAAACTATATAATGGTATTGTAAAATGTCTCGTTCCTAGTCTATTACGCAGTGGGATCTTTAATGCCGACCTTTCCACCGTTGAAAAAGTCTTAATCGTGCTAAATCTATCACTTGTCTGCTTCTCAAGAAAACAATTTTCCACCAATCTGAATCTCTCGCTTGCCACATGATTTGTGTTAAGGTCATCTCTTCTACAGATAAGATTCAATCTCTACACGAAGCAACGTCCGACTTTAATGCACACTTTTGTATGCGATTTAAATTGATATTAAATCCACAACTAATTCTGTGTATCACCATTCGAGTTAAGACCAATCCAATCTGTTAGATATAAAATGTGTATGAGTGCAAAGTGTGTTAAATGTGTCTTACTGTGTGAACACATCCCCAACGGCATCAAATGTAATCCAATCCGATCCTGCAGCTCACCATTGATCAATTCCTGCAACTGCAAGAGCGGATCCGTAACTTCGAGGGAATGCTTGGCGGCGGCAGCGGGGAGCGTTTGTGCACGCCAAGCACTTCGGCCGGCCCCTTCCGCATCTTCTCTGTGGCCGGATTCCAAAACAGGGCCAATGACATCGTCTACTGCCCGCCAATTGTGCGCCAGCAGCAGTCGCAGCATGTGCCGGAGGACTCCACGGCCATTATCTACTTCGGCGGCGACGTTCAGGATTTTCCGGAGAGCATGGAGACGAATCGCGACAGCAGGGGCTACATGAAGTACAATCTCGAGAATTCGGCCATTCTGTTGCGCGAGGCTTTCCCCAGGTCCCACATCATCGTCATTCGGCCGGTTCGGTGAGTGTTTGATAAATTAATATATTATGTAATAATAATAATAATAATTTGCTACATTTTCACCATACAGCATGGAGTTCAAGACATTTAGCTGCTTCGATAATTTCGTGAGAGGAAACAATGCTGGAGTCCCAGATCACACTCCCATGAACCATGCCCTCCAGCATCTGGAAAAGTGAGTTTGAATACTGCCAGAAGCCATCACTTTACTACTTATGATTACACGTCCTTTCTCGTCCCTAGATTATTGCAGAATCTGTCGCAGCGCTTGATCTCCATACCCGAGAACGAGATCCTTGATCAGGCCGCACAGGCGGCGGCTGCAGCGGCGGCAGTGGCTGCTGCAGCTGCGGCCGCTGCCCTAACGCTATCTAATGCCACCGTCACCTCGGAGTCCAACTCGCAGTCGGCGCCCGCCTCCAACGACAGCAGTCAGGAAATGGATATAGACATACTGCAGGTGCAGGAAAATGTGACCGTGGATGCAGACGGGGCTGTCATATTCCCTATTGTTGGCAGCGAAGTGGCAGAGACAGTCAATAATGTCACTGGAAATAATGGAAACATTGGCGGCAGCAACGAGGCCAATACGAACAACCATCAGGAGGAGCAGGCGAACAATCAGATCCAGCAAACGCAACAGGCGGCTGCCATCAAGTTGACTTCTGCCACCAACAACGTCGAGCACTACAATAATGACTGTGCCACGAGGCAGGTTCCTGCAGTAAATGCAACTGCAGCGTCTGCGACGGCAACAACCACATCAACAGCAACAGCGGCGGCAACCAGCGACAGCAATCCACTTTGGTGGCGCGAGAACCTTAACCTGGACAAGTCCAAGCTGGTGCTGATTGGCTTCAGCAAGGGCTGCGTCGTGCTCAATCAAGTGAGTCGCGTTTGGTTCGTTAACTAGTTATGCCGGCGCTCCAATCCCGTTCAGAACTGAAGCATGAATCCATCAATCAGGGTCTGAAGGGGTTTTGGGAATCATTAGCTTGGTGACTATTAGCTAATCCTTCATTTTCCTTCGTTATTGCAGTTCATCTACGAGTTCCATTATTTAAAAACCCTCACGCCCGACGACAGCAGCATGTGCCGCTTGCTTTCCCGCATATCGGACATGTATTGGCTGGATGGCGGTCATGGAGGTCAGAAGAATACATGGATCACATCACGTAGCTTATTGGAGACGCTAACGCGCATGGGTAAGTGTAGAGAAATCATCGTTTCAAAACCTCATTGACCAACGGTTGGGACTCTTTAAGCAGGTATGAACATCCACGTCCACCTGACGCCCTATCAGGTGCAGGACGATCGACGGCCCTGGATCCGCAAGGAGGAGAAGCTGTTCACGGAGATGCTGAGGCGGCTGAATGCGCCGATCACCCGGCACCTGCACTATGACAACCAACCGGCCAACCTTATGACCCACTTTGAGGTGTTGCAGGCCTTTTGCCAGCACGTCCATGCCCTAAACCAGCAGCAGCAGCAGCTTCAGCAACAACAACAACAGCAGGGAGTGGGATAAGCGACCAGTCGGCAGTGGCTACCAACAACGGCGGGACCAACAACAGTCTACTAGAAAGCGGCGAGGAGGCAAAGTGACAGCTGCAACTGCATCCGCACCACCATCACAGGCGTCGTTTGCATGCAATGCGCAAGGGAACTGCCGCCCTGAAGCGCCAACAGGTGGCCCAGCTGCGTCAGCATCATCAACAGCTGCTGGCTGCCGCACCGGAGCTAGCATTAGCCTCCTCATCGCGCCTGGCCGCGGCCCTGATCTCGTCGGCGGTGGCCCTGAGCAGCGCCTCCTCATCCGCCGCCGGGAGCATTGTAAATAATCATCATCACAGCCATATGCAACAACAGCAGCAGGAGCAGCTGCCTCAGCCACCGCAGACACGCCATCATCAGCATCACCAGCACTCCCACAGGCATCACCACCACCACCACTCGCACCACCATTCGCATCACCACTCTCACCATCAGTGTCGCTCGAAACGCAAACTGCAGAAACTGTATTATACGCTTTGCCGTTAGATCTGTAACTTAACTTTATCGAATGTATACTTGTACGAGAGACAGTTTCTTAGAACCACCATTAGCAAGCACCTAACTTTTCCCAGTCAATTCCAAAGTGTCGTTTGTATGTCTATTTTTGTGTATATGTATTTATTTATTCCCATTTTTTCTACTCTTACATCACGTCATTTTCGTAATTATTGGTCCTAAAAGTGAAGAAAAAATCTCATCAGTGCAATAATGTAGGTAGATACGTCTACAAGTATATATATATTTATACAAATATGTATGTGTATATGCTGATTTTAAAATCATCTCTATGTATACAAACACTCCAAGCTAATTTATTTGTAATCGAAAAACGATTTGTGATTTGCGCACATGAACTAAGAACACTTCGCAAGGCAAGCATCCTCCATTGACTCAAGCAATTATCGTTTTAAGTACCCCCAAGGAATTTATATGTACGTTGACGCAGTAATCTAACCAATCTTAGAACACCCCCCGACCCCACACAAAACCCCCCTCTGATTAAGTATTACTTAGCGTTAAGTGAGCTTTAAATTAAGTTGCAAACTGGCAAGGATCCCACGACAAAATGTACTTTACTTAGGACGACGATCCTCAGATTCGATTGCGCGAACTGAGGCCGAAGTAACAAATTCGCGAGAAGCCGAGAGATAAGCTCTCGTGTAGAAGGCGTTCGTGGTACACGTAGTTTTTTCTGATTGTGCTGGACAAGTCAAGGGAAAAGTACTCAATGTGGGAATTAAGTGAACTTTGCCAAGTACGATCCAGATGCGATAAGTAATTGTAATGGCGCGCGTTCCTTATACCAAAGAGCTTATAATAACAAGATGCTTAACGACCATCATTTGAAATGTCAAATTCAACCGACAAAAAATTTTATAGCGTTATTAATTTTGTTATTATAGGGTCTTTGCTTATACACTATTTAATCGATATGGAAATCATCATTACCGCTTCCGCTTATCCAACAAACAGACAAACCGATCAAACACAAATCCAATTAAACTTATATAGTGCATAGAGAAACGAATAATAAATTACACAAAAATTTCGTACCTTTGTCGAATTTGCAGTTCAAAATTGCTTTACGAGAGTTTTGTCAATGTAAGTTGTACGGCTTAAAAGTTCACATACACTTTAGGCAAGAAATCTAATTAATAAATGGATACAGAGAATGATACAATGGAATGTGTTTTGTAGATGTAAATTAAACCATTATAAATGATAAAGAAAATCTGCTGCGAATTTGATACGAAACGGAAGAGAGTTCTAAGAAGAAAGTCAAGCAAATAAAATCTACTAAATAGAGAGTTCCCAATGTAAATTCTACTGATATTTGTGAGTCTGCTAAATAAAAAGCATATAATATGGATAAAAAGTTTTAAAATTAGTTATAAAACTATATAATGGTATTGTAAAATGTCTCGTTCCTAGTCTATTACGCAGTGGGATCTTTAATGCCGACCTTTCCACCGTTGAAAAAGTCTTAATCGTGCTAAATCTATCACTTGTCTGCTTCTCAAGAAAACAATTTTCCACCAATCTGAATCTCTCGCTTGCCACATGATTTGTGTTAAGGTCATCTCTTCTACAGATAAGATTCAATCTCTACACGAAGCAACGTCCGACTTTAATGCACACTTTTGTATGCGATTTAAATTGATATTAAATCCACAACTAATTCTGTGTATCACCATTCGAGTTAAGACCAATCCAGACTTCATCTCGATACGGTCGATCGAAAACAAGAGTGTGTGAACTAAAAGTCACAATAGTCAATAGTATTCATCGGACTTATTTCTTTTTAATCCATCTACTTATTTTAAAAATAAATTACAATTCTATTGTACTCGTACAAAAAATATCGCTTGTGATGTGCCCGACAGCTACATCATTGAGATTGATGTCCTTGGTGCGCACAGGTGGTGGGAAGGTGGATGTGGAAGAGGATAGCTGTCGCTGGACTACGCACAGTTGTTGGGGCACTTGACCGCCGTCGTCCACTCGTCGCTGCCGTCACAGCAATCACACACGTGGTCATTTATCCGGCTGCTGGCCACGTAAACATCCAGGCCCCGGCCTGTGATGTGACGCTTCTGGTAGCGGCAGTAAAATCGCCCCGCGGAGCAAGCGTTCGTGCTAGGCTCGTCGCTGCCGTCGCCCTCGCAATCGCAGTAGTTGTCGTTGAGATGATCAAAGAGGATCTCCTTCGTGCCATCTAGGCACCTGAACTTTCCCTCGAAGTTGGGCTTGTAGGCATCGTAGTCGAAGAGCCGGGTGCCCCTGAAAGCAGAGCAAGGTTGAGTGAGTAAAATCGTATTACTGGTAGCCAATTTCACGCTTACCTTATGATCTTGATTGGATCCTCGTTCCCGGCTCCAGCAGCCGTGCCACCGCCCACAGGTGCAGCTGGAGCCACCGGACCGCCTCCGCCGCCATCGAAATCGTCGACGTCGCGCTGTTTGCTGCCCAGCGACTGTCTCATCTGCTGGTGCTTCCGCTTGATCTGTTGCAGGTTCCATGGCGTAGGCACGCCCGGCAGCTGGTTCAGCGAGAAGGCCTAATTATTGTTTATTTTATTCGTTAGCGGCCGCACTTTAAACCCAAAGTATCCCCTCGCTTGGACTCACCTGATAGGCGATGAAGGATATGCCGACCAGGAAGATGAGCAGCAGGAACATCTTGGACTTCTGCTTGTAGAAAGGCTTGTAGTAAATGTTTTCTCGCTTCACCCATGTCTTTCGCATAATTGCCTTTTAGCTGTGGGAATGGTTGTGGTTCTGTATAAAAAATATGTTTTGTTTATTACACAGCATTGTTGTTGTCCAGAGTTGCCATCACCTCAAGAGTGTGTTTAAGTGTGACCAGCTAAGTAAACATTTACTCATATTTCTGTGAAATTTAATCAGCTTCAAAAATTGAAAGTGCTAATAATATTAATAAATAAATTTAAACACTTTCAAAAACGGAGATTTGGATAAATTCTGGTTCTGGTTACGTTAAAAAAGATGTGTGTGTTTAAGTGGGACCAGCTAAATAAACATTTTATTTTATTTTTCTGTGAAATTTGATCAGGTTCAAAATTTAAATATTTATAATTACATTTAAACGCATTTAAAAACGAGGTTTTGATAAAATTGAATATTGAAATCCAGATTATAGTAAGGAAGTGAATGTAAATCGTTACAGGCCCCTTTATATAAATATAAATCTCACAACCTTACAGCTAAATCTGCTTAATTTTCATTCTCTCTTATACAGACAATATGTTCAATTCTTTTTAGAAAATACATTTCTCGTTTTACGTTACCTACAAACTTATAAATATAACTTTTAGGTCAAATTGCAAACATATTTTCTTTCATTCCATTGACTTTTATTTAAGCTAACACCAAAAAGATAAGCTTTTTGCTCACAAAAGATACCCAGGTCATCTTGCAGAGGTTTCTTTTTCATTCCATAGACTTTTATTTGAGCTTACAGCACGTAAAGTGAAAGTAATATGAGGCGCGAAAGGAAAATAAATAAGTGTAGATGGGAATGATAGAGTGGCAGGGGTTGGAAAATTAGGTGGCCTTCAGGGAAGACTCATGCTTGTACACTTCGATCACGCTCTCAATAATCTCCCACTGGTGCTCTCGGGTAAAGTCCTTGACCAGGGGCTTGTACCACATGGCCGACTCATCGGACTCATCGGTGAGTGGCACCTGGACGCCGTAGGTCTGCAGGGCCAGCGATAGACAGCCGATGGCCACATGGGTTGGCTTGTACTTGAGGATGTTGGCGCTTTGGTGGAAGTCTTGCAGGTAGGAGGCTGCAGCCTTGGCAATGGGCACCGAGTTCCACACCTCGGCGCCCACCCAGTCTTGTAGGGTCTTCATATAGTAGAGTAAGTACTGCAATATAGAGATTTGAAGGTGGTGAGTGATTTTCTAGGACAGGTAGCAACTGCTACCTAAAGTTCTTACCTTATGTGCCAGGTCGATGTTGAGATCGAAGCCCAGGGTGCGTGTGATAAGCAGCTCCGCCTGCACGATGGCATCGCGCATGGACCAGTACTCGTCGTTGAGATCCAGCGGATCATTGCCCCGGTTGAGGGTGCAGTATGCCACGTTGATCACATCGCGTATCTTCACACTGTCGTCGTCCTTGATTTTGCCAGCCAAGTACAGCGAGGAGGCGGCAATTAGCTGTTTTGTTTGAGGATTATGTCTGTGAGATGCGTTACACTTTTAAAGGAACCCAATACGCACGAACTCATCGTAGTCGCTGGACTTCACCTCCCGGAAGAAGCGGTGGTACACAATGGCCGCACAGGCAGCCGTCAGGGGTTTCATCTTCAGCTTGGCAGCGCACTCAAAAATGTACAGGGGCACCAGTCCGGATTTGTTCAGCTTCCTGGTGGAATTTAAGCACGTAAAATTAGATCAACCAGTCGTCATCATCTCCACCTACCTATAGTCAATGGGCTTTACGCCCTGCGACTTGTTCGAATCCACGTGCTGCTGCAACGACATGACATCTAAGACGTTCTTCATTCTCACAGGCAAATGCCGAATCGGGCGTATTTATTGAAATTGGGGGTTGGGGACAGCAGCAGTACCAATTTCGATTGCGAGTTCGTTGGCCCACACAGCAGACTGGATAAAGCAAGACTGCAGGTCAGCTGGGAGCTGCGAGCCTATATGCGGAAAGGAGACACCGAAAAATCGAGAGGCGGTAAACCGGTTTGGACTGCAGCGGCGGTGCAATTGTAAGACGCGGTGCACACGGAATGGGAAAACTAACGGGGCGACCGGCGAGACGCCGACAGCTGATCGATTTTACTTAAAATGGTGGCCAAATTAGTTCAAAATCACCCATTTTCTCAGTTTAAAAGTAGTTGACAAACCGGCTCACAGCTGTTTGACTTTGGAAGTGTTGGAAAACTGTAAGCTGCTAGTTTAAAAGCTTAAACCAGAGAAAGTAACTTAATCAACATTAACTTAAAAAAAATTGCAATATTCATTTAAATTCATAAACGAGTGCTATGAATATTTTGTCTAATAAAAATTTAAATCTTTTGATATATATTAAGAAACCTTCAGAGTTTTTCCCCAGTCATGACCATTTAATGTACCCCTTATTATTATAATCTTTTCTCTCTTATTTCTCTCAGTGCAGTAATTGCCGATAACTGTGTATCGATAATTACCGATTACACAATACACATCCCTATCGCCGCCAGCTGTTCCACTCTGTTGCCCCCGCTCGCCCCTCTCGAATACATTTATTATCATTGCGAAAACCAAGTGCAGGCAGCAGCAAAAACAGCAAATCCATCGCAACCAGGCGAAAATGGATCAATAACGCGCCAGCCAGGGCTAACTCGCTAACCCCGTGACCGCTAATTGGATTCCATTGTGCGCCCAGTGACAGGAAACGGAAATCTACAACGGCCAGCAGCAAATCGCTTGCGAGATACACAAAGAAGCACAAACAAACCGAAAATGAAGGCGACCAAGACGCGGGCTGTCCGCCTCACAAGCTTGACGGAGGACGTGACCAGTGTTCCGGAGGATGCTCCCTTCCGGGCACGCCTCCACTTCCTGTTCGCCCAGATCGAACGGGAATTCGAACAACTTTACCTGGAGAATCAGAGCTGTGAGTGTTATGGGACTCTAAGTGCTCCCACTAAATCTGTGTAATTTATAAAGAATCCGCTTAATAAAAAGTTGATCACATTTTTGATTAATTCCAGTGCAGGATAAACTGGACATTGCCACCGCCACCAAGGAATCTGTGGTCCAGCAGGAGCAAAGATGTGCCGCAGGAGGAGTGCTGAGCGCTCCATCTTCCTCCTCTGCTTTGCCCACTCCGGCCACCCAAACAGATGAAGTGGGCGCCAGCTTTCTGGCCGCCGCTTCCAGCACACACAAGAGCTTGAAGGCTAAACTAAGCAGCGCCACCGGCGGCAGCAAGGCGAAGGCCAGCAACAAAATCAAGGCCCAGACTAGCCGCATAGTGTCCAGCTTCAAGGCTCCCACAGTGGTCAGCACTGTGGTGAGAGAGTTTGGTGGACATAAGGATGGCATTTGGCAGGTGGCCGCAAAGGCAGGACAGCCTATTATAGGCACCGCATCCGCCGATCACACAGCCTGCATCTGGGGCGTCGAGAGTGCACGATGTTTGCTGCAGTACCAAGGGCATGCCGGGTCTGTCAACTCCATAAAGTTTCATAAGCAAAGGGATCTCGTGCTCACAGGCAGCGGTGACGGAACAGCCCACATTTGGCAGGCAGCCGTTAACTGGGAGGTGTCCAAGTAAGTGTCCGCATCGTGACGTAGCCCATGAGTTACAATTTTTGCCTTTGCCCAACAGGAAAGGTCATTCATCGGAAGAGGAGCTGGACGACAGCGATGAGCAGGTAGAGGACCGTGATCGTGTGGACACCTTGCGCACACCACTCTGTGAGTTTACAGGCCCCGGTGGCCACCTGTCCGTTGTGGTGGCCGCCGACTGGCTCTCCTCGATGGACCAGATCATCACCGGCAGCTGGGACAGGACCGCCATATTGTGGGACGTTGAAACAGGCCAGCCACTGCAGCCATTGACGGGACACGACCACGAGCTGACACACGTTTCGGCGCATCCCACACAGCGCTTGGTAGTGACCGCCTCCAGGGACACCACGTTCCGGCTGTGGGACTTCCGGGAGGCCATTCCCGCGGTGTCCGTGTTTCAGGGCCACACGGAAACGGTTACCTCCAGTGTGTTTGCGCGTGATGACAAAGTGGTGTCTGGATCGGATGACCGCACCATCAAGGTGTGGGAGCTGCGCAATATGCGCTCGGCTTTGGCCACGATCCGAACGGATTCCTCGGTTAACCGCCTGGCCGTTTCCAGCGGTGGGATCATCGCAATACCACATGACAATCGTCAGATTCGACTTTTCGATTTGAATGGACAAAGGGTGGCCAGATTGCCCCGCACCAGTCGACAGGGTCATCGGCGGATGGTGTCCTCGGTGGCCTGGGCGGAGGAGCCGCTGCTCGACTGCGACCTCTTCTCTTGTGGCTTCGATCGCCGCGTCTTTGGCTGGTCCATCGTCCTACCGAAGGACAATTGAAGGCGGTTAAAAGGGGGAGCTGCTCCTAAAGAAGGATAGGCCGGATGAGCAGGCAGCCCCCTCGGAACGCAAAACATCTCTCGAACAGAGCATCCGCCAGTGATGCTCGTACTTATGTGTGTAGCCGTTAAAATTTAGATCAAGTATTATGCAGACATTGTTCAAGATGTTCTAGATGTCGATCACTGAGTGTAATTACTGTTGCTTTTTGCCAAATAGTCGCGGCACATCATCAAGTGTTGCTATGTACTACATATTATCATTGTTATAACGTATATGCGTGGGGATTGGGCTAGACTTCCGAAGTCCAATTCGTATTTTATCTGTGTTTTACTACCATACAAAACATATAATTATTATAGGTGTCTAAGGCATTGACGTTATTAGCGAACATGAATAAACATAATCAAGCACTTATAGATGCATTAACTACAAAATATACATGGTTTATCTTTTATTTTTCAAATTAATTGGATGTATGCGGAAGTTATAATTGGCTGAACCATAAAAGCTTTGTTATTTGTAGCTTATAAATGCTATTTTTTAAATAACACTAATCCACTCTAATCGCGTATTACCTCTTTTATTTCCATTTCATACACATTCAATATACTTTTGATATAACTTAAAGTTAAAGTTGGCTAAGGCGTAGGTAGACATAACAATTTTAAACGTAAAAATAGTCCATCGATAATGCGTGGCTATAACTTTGGAATACAGACGCTGCCCCTCACAGGTGGGCAAACTTGAGCACCAGGAGACCGATTAGGATGCCCACCTCCAATATGATGATGAGTATCAGAATGATCTTGTTGTAGAGCACCTCCCTGCTCAATTTTCGAATGATGGCACGGGACTTGGACAGATCCTGATCGGCGTCCTCCAGACGCCGAGTCGTGCGCAGAAGTGACTCCCTCTGCTCACCCAATTCGCCCAGCACCTGTTGGGATGTTAACATATCTACATAAGCTGGTGAATACCCTATTAATATGTACTTACCTCCACTCCCATGTTCTCCGTTTCGATGGCAATCTGGTTGGATCTCTGGATGCTCTCAGTCGTGCGTTGCAGCACATCGTTCATGCTGGCCGACAGCTGCGCTTGGCGGCTATCGTAGTCGCCGCCGCTGGGCAGTTGGTGGTAGCCGGCGTTGGACATGATTTTGGGTGAGATTTTAAAAGAAATTAAATGCGATATTGGTCAGGTTTCGAAAAACAAAATAAAAACAAAGGCAGGGTGTGACCGTTATGGCACATCAAAAAAATACCCAAAACGCCATTTAGAGAGGGACTAACGCATTTTTAATGACAATTATCGATGATTTTAACACATCACTAAATCGAACCGTTATTGTTCTTGGTTTAAAATCGGTTTCAATTTTCTATTATTATTTTTAGATTTAATGGATAAATATATGTTTATTCAATGTTCTAGCACAGAACAAGCTTTTTTTTCGTTTTGATCACAATACGCCCTCTGATAGGATTTTTTGTCATTGAAAAAAAAAAAACCTATTTAACCTATTTAAATATTATTAATTGATTTTTAAGGTTTGAACACTTCCGAGAAACAATTGGGCTGAACAGGAGACAGCCGTTAACTCAAAAGTCAAGAGGCTTGCCCATAAATAGAAAGGGTGGTATAAATTTATCAACTACCATTTTTACCCCTACCGCTTTGCACCCGTGCACCCCCCTGACAGTTGCTAGGCCGACAAGAGGAGCGATTTATAAAGGCTGACAAAACCAAAACAAACAGCTATCAATATCAGGTTGTCTTATCTGGAACAGGGAATTACTCGGCTGAAGCGTTATTAATTTAAATTGATAGCTAGTGGCTACGCAATGCGGACCGTACATATGTAGCACTCGAAGAGTTTTGACTTTAGTGCGGGTATTTGTCGATTTTTGATTCCTGATAACGACCTCTGTTGTGCTGCCTCCCTGATCATACATGGCCGACATGGCAAGCCCGCCCGATCCAAAGATATAGCAACTATGTGTGTGTTTTATACAGAGGGAGAGAGTCGATTGGCGAGCGGGTTCTCGAGTCGCCACCAAATTTAAACGCAGTCGATCGCTGGCGGTGAGCAGACGTGCGCTCCGCTTGAGATACAGATACTCAGGCACTCAGTCAGATACTCTCGGTCGGCAACAAACAAGTTCTAAATTTATCGCTCGTACTCGCGGGGAATCGAATCTGTGCTGTCTTTGACATTCTAAAGCGTTTTCGGAGCTGCGAAGGTAAGCGAATCCCGGGCGAAGACCCCGCAAGACTCGATTAAACCAGTGGGTTCAAGGTGATCCGTCTCTCGCTCTCTTGAGCTGGACCAAAAAAGTGTGTCATAGTTTTCAGACATCAAAAGATGCAAAAGCCTCTCGGAGAGCACGTGCTCCAAGCAGCAAAGCCTGACATTTGGCACGTGACGATGCCCAGTGATAGCTAGTTAGTTAGTTAGTTATTCTGCGGGGAGGGGGGTCACCTCGCCTGTCATGGGACCCATTGTGCAAACGGCGCTCCCACCTGTCCGAAGTCACAGGTAAAGTCAGAGCGCGCTAGCTCCGTCTCTGTCTGGAGCCCGCGAGTATCTCTGAGATACGTCGTGGTCGTCGTCGTGCGTGTCATACTGCGGCAGTGTGAGTGTTGGTCGAGCACACAGATACTGCGCCAACATTTGTATGTATGAATATCTGTGAGTCGCGCTCTCCTACAGAGTCGCGAGTTTTCGAGTTTTATGCAATCAAATAATACGGGTATCATGTGATCTCCGGGGCTTGTGGTCGGCCTAGAAATATCTTCTGCCAGAACGGAGGAGAAACGAAACCGAGAACCAAAAGCTGAGCTCGATTGAGTACTTCAATAAAGCTTCGAGTAATTGCTCACAATAAATTCCAGTCGATTATGATTTATGGATCACTCTATAAATTCCCCGTCGTCGTCGTCGCACTTCCCATCGATCAATCAATAGCTGATTAGCCCATCAGCAGCACTAGCAGCAGACCCCGTTTATGAATGGAAAATCTGAACGTTCGAGAAATCAGGAAATCCCAGATCTCAAGTACGAGTGCAAATAAGCCTTATAAAGCCCCGCACTCGAGTCCCCGATCTCCAGTTGCGCAACTCCCCAGCCAAAAGCTTATCGGCATTATGGCGGAACTTGCATTGCAATCAAAATATTGCAATTTTCAATGAGCTTTGGTTTTAAAGCATTTGTTGAATCACACTTGATGTTTTAAAAAAAAATTAAATATGATTGTTGTGTAACTTTATGTTCATTAACTTGACATTAGAAGCTATACATAAAACGGTTAAAAGCCATTTGTTTAACATCAGTGAGTTTATGGTTCGCGCTTCTGTTTTACAACTCCCATTTATTTTTAGTTCCCTACCTTACCTTACCTTTTAGATAAGTCTGTGCCGTATGGGCATAATTGGGATTTTTGACTTTGCTCCCACAGCAGTAGTTTAGGAAAATCAATTGAATTGACAATTGACGTTAATAAATGTGAGTGAAGGCCTGGGTGTCTCTTCTCCTGATCGCCTCTATCGTCTCTGGATTCACATAGGAATTATATATATGTACATTCATACATATGTATATACATATACATAAATACATACATAAGGCAAGGTCTTAATTACTCGCAGAGGAAAAAATGGAATTGTCATAAAAACGAACGCTCTCAATAAAAAGTAGAAGTTATATTCGCATTTGAATTAACAACAAATAGCAGCAAGAGAGTCCCGTGGATGGGAGAGCCGGAGAGAAGAAAGATAGAGAGAAACAAACAAAACAGAGCGAAAAGTGAACGAAACTTCGAAGCGTAGCGATATTAGCTTACATGGGCGTGCGCCCGCTCCCAAAAAGGGGGTTGTCAATGTCACCGCTCTCCGCCTAGTTTTTTCCCCTTTCTGTGCCCCTCTCCGACGATTAAATGTGATTAAGGCTCACCCACAACTCGCGTGTGTTAGACAGGAGCAACAACAACAGCTGCATTTTAACAACAGTGGAGCTTCAGTAATATGAAATTATTGTCGACTTTGGAAACATAAATATACAGCTTTTAAAACTATAGTTTCAGGAATTGAATCTCAGTACTGTCACTGTTGAAAAACTTTTTTGTTTTTAAAATCTAGTGTTAAAGTATGAATTGAATTTCCTTTCATAAAAACCAAGGCCTACTTATTGGCGCCATTTTTTTTTGGGGTAAAGTATTTGAAAATAAAATCAAGCTTCCAATTCAATTAATTTTCATAGGAAAGATAGTAAGATTAACTACGATTATCTTTAAATATTAGTTATTATATACGTCTAACTGTATTTGGAGGTGGTTCGCACCCACACATACAAGGCACGCAAGGCTAGAGTCCACTCACGAAAATGACCAGCAAAGAGGAGCGAACAGAGAGAGGAAGGAAAAAGGCGAGAAGCGAATAGCAAACAGCAATGGCTACGACGTCGCTTAGCGCCTAGTTGTTGTTTTGAAGTTGAACTGGTTTACAGTTAGCGCAGCTGTTTCGCCGCCTCTGTGTTTTTAACGTTTTCAGTGTTTTTTTGGTGTTCGGGCTGTGCGTGAGCGATATTGGGCAATTGGGAATTCGAAATTCCAGTTTTCAGTGAATTAAATTTATTAAAACGAAAGCAGCACTTGAGCAGGCGAGTTCAATTGAAATAAATACCTGTTTTCCAATCATCGTGTTACAAAAAAGATTCCAATTCAAGAGAAACGAATAAATATTTAGAAATACAGTGCTTTGTTTGTCCTCGTCTGGATATTGTGTTTATAAGCAACGATTGTATATAGAAGTACATACAGACATACATACGCATATATGTATGTACATATATATGTACATATATGTTTATATAAAAGCCTGATATCGTATTGCTACGTACTAACAGGGTTCGAGTCCGAGCTGTGGTGATTTCCGCCTTGAAGCGATAAAACCTTCTAAGAAAGCAACCCCGCCCTTTTGATTAAATTTTAATCAATTCAATTATAAATAACTGTACAATAAGAATTTCCTTAACGAAAATCCACTCAAGCCCCCCTTTTGAACATTAGAGTGGAGTGGGTACTCAAATGTATGAGTATTAGTCCATATTTTGTTTAAAGTGAATTAAAGCTCTTAAAATTATTATTTTTTTATAAAACACCTAAGATCAGTAACGGCTGATTACAAACTTTTCATTCTTTGAAAACCATAAATCCATACATTTATTAAGTAAAATATGTAAAAGTTAGGCCAAAACTTAATGATATTGCAAAGACCAACAAAAAGTTCAGTATATGGAAATTAAGCCTCAAAGAATACAGAAATATTCCCATCGTAATGAATTTGAGAGTGCAAAAGGTGTAAGTTCGTTAATGACACTGAAAAACAGTTTAAAATGCACAAAATGGCATTGTAAAAATTAACAAGTAGCCGCCGTAATATTGGAACCCACTCTATATGGATCTCCCTCCTACGTCCCTGTTTCGGCACACGCCCAATACTAGGCTAATGAAGCAATAAAACTACAAACAATTGAACTGACAAACATTCTAAAACAATCTTTAATGACCCGACAATTGGACTCGTATTCGTAATTAATAATAAGAGCAATTAAGGCTGCGAATTTCATGACTCTGCTATTTTTAGCAAACTGGCGACAACCGGCCAAAGGCCCAAAAAAACCAACAAAGTGCCAGCCACCGCCACATTCTTACATATTTGTATAAGTTGGCCTGATAAAAGTGCCAAAGTAAGCGAAAAAGCTGAAACCAGCAGAAGATATGAGCAACAGGCTTTGTGTGAGGAGCATCAAGTGGATCCCATTTCCCATTCCTCCCGGGAACGCGATAGCACAAGTCAAGGGGGGAACTCCAATCCGACTCTGGCTACTGCAGTAGAGATGTTAGTGGTCATGTCATGTGATTGATGGATCTTTGAGAGCACTGATGGTTGGATGGGGTTTTCGTTAATATCCATGACGTCCCCTGTCTCTGGCAGCTGGCCAATTGTCTGGGCCATGTTGTATTATTTTATGCTGTTTTACAAATGACTCGAACGCCCCTACACAGTGAGATAATTATCAGTTTTGTAAAATTGATAACTAATCTATTATGATATATAATGAGATTTTAATTGGAATAGAAAGTACTTGAATTCTCATATCTCAAATGTGGAAATTCTGACTTACAATAGACATTCTTTAATTGTAGATAAAATATCTTTGGAAAACGTAATTTAAGTCTGAGACTCGGAAACTATTCCCAAGCAAGTCATTCTTTATAGTTGGTTTTATTTTTATCAAAGTTTCATTATATGCTAAGCGTTTGAGATCCTGTGATCTCTGCTAATTATGAAAAATAATAATAGAAATGAGTTTTTTAGACTATAGAAAGAGACTAAGGCAATTAAAGAAATGTTTATTAATCTGCAGGAGACTTCGAGTGAACTTTAGAATAAAATAATACCTATTATACCACTCATTTAGACTGAAAATAGAAAGTATATTTTCTGTTCAGTGCACACAACGTTTGCATAAATATGTGTCCTGCATATAACACATCATACGTTTTATATCTCCCGCAAAAGCTAATTCTTCTCTCCTGTCGGGGAATGGGAATATGGGAATGGGCATTTGGACGGGATTCAGATACAGTGTGGGGAGGAGAACCCGGGACCATGTGTAGTCCGTGGGACCATTAAAGTTCGATAATGTGCGAGGCTGACGTCGCCGTGTCGTTGACTGTTTGGCTGATGATGTCACTGCAAACCTTGATGTCGTCTGTGTGTACACTGCGAACTGGCGAAATGCTCCGAGTGCAGACACTGCCCTGCCCAGGACCTCGCCCACCTTAACTCCGACCCGCCCTCAGATGCGTCAGTGCGGAGGCGACCCAATTAAGCCAAACATTACTTGCATTATCTGAGTTCCACCGATTTTTTTTGGGAGAAGTCAGCTCTGTTTGCACATGGCGGGCCAGGTCTGACTGACAGTTCCTGATAAACTGACAATTATCAGTTAATTTGCCATAATCATAATTTATGTATGTAAAAAGCCCCCATATGTTTTGTGAGTTTTGTGGGGTTAAGTTTTCTTGAGGAAGTGTCAGTGCATTTTGGGTCGACGCAGCGATAAGAGTTGTGTTAGTGCTTAAGGTTGTAAACTATATTGCAGCAGTATCAGATAGGTCTGGTAAATAAGTTAAGTTTGCCCAGTTGAATAAAGCCATATGTACTTCAGAAAGTACATTTTGGGAACGGAAAGCTACATTCTTTCTCAACTAGATAATACAGGTAACAGTAATAGGGAAAAAAGAAAACTTAAGATATATTTAAAAATGATTTCCCAAAATAATGTCTTCATCAACTTAAAATAATCATGCCATCTGGCCTGACAGGAAGGAAATCTATCAACAATGAATTTGACTTTGTGTTGAAACTAATCTTTATGGCTGTGTTTATATTTGGATCATAAATCGGTAGATTCCACGAATTGGAACTGTATTTATATGCACATATCATAATACAATTTTATGTGTGATCGCATTTTGTATCGGTTAAAAGTACTTCCGTTGCTTAAGGTCTAAATAATTAGGCTTATTAGTTCTTCAGTTCTTAAGATAGCTTTCTTAGCCTTCTCTTGAATCTTTTATTGTTTAAAAAGTTTGAAAATTCAGTTATGTTCATATTCGATTCCTTCCCCTTGAAACCTACACAAAAGCAGCTCTACCAGTTTAAAATATTTGTTTACTGAACAACTTGGAGTTACGTGATTTCGCTGTTAAATTCATTTAGAACGTGACTGGGTGTTGTGATTAAGAAGTCGAAACTTGTTTGGGATTTGTATATGGACTCTCCTGATTCAATTCTCTGGTTGTGATGATAGCCCCGCCGGGCCCGAGCACCATATGGAGCTGAAAATAGAGTGATTGCCTTTCCACACCAAAGAAAAACAAATAAAAGACAAATAAATAAATAGAATCATTTGCAGAGCAACCTAGCAAATTTTGTACATAAATATGTCGGGTTAAATAGGGGGCGAAGATGCACTGAGACAAAATTGCTTCAAGATACAAATAAAATCTCAAAAAAGAGTTTTGTAATTTTATAATTTATTTAAGGATTTCAAAATGTGTTTTATTAAAAGCTGATAAAGGAAAGCAAGGCATAATCTTGAAGAAGATGGAATATCTTCTAAGACAAGATACTTTTTGTTTGTTTAACAATATTTTAATAAAGTAGGTTTTTTAGTTCTGTATTATTTTTTGGCCAAGTGAAACTATTGTTTATAGCATATTCCCTCTCTTGACTAGACGCCAAAGCCAAACGATGGCGAAAAACAAATCGTGGTCGCTATTCTTTATTTTAATTGCAAGTCTGCGGAATGCTAAAACAAATCCCCTTGCCACCTCTTTCGTCCACAGGGAACGTAAACAGTCGCCAAGATGGGGGACATGTTCCGAAGTGAGGAAATGGCACTCTGCCAGATGTTCATTCAGCCAGAGGCCGCGTACACCTCCGTATCGGAGCTGGGCGAAACCGGCTGTGTGCAGTTCCGCGACGTAAGTACGGATTGTAGTTGCCCATTGGCACCGCCAGTAACCGAAGATTCTCCTTCCAGCTGAACGTGAATGTGAACGCCTTCCAGCGGAAGTTCGTCACCGAGGTGCGGCGCTGCGATGACTGGAGCGCAAGATCCGCTACATCGAGACGGAGATCAAGAAGGACGGCATTGTGCTGCCGGACATCCAGGATGACATTCCGCGGGCACCGAATCCACGCGAGATCATTGATCTGGAGGCCCACCTGGAGAAGACCGAGTCGGAGATGATCGAGCTGGCCCAGAACGAGGTGAACATGAAGTCCAACTACCTGGAGCTCACCGAGCTGCGCAAGGTACTGGAGAACACGCAGGGCTTCTTCTCGGACCAGGAAGTGCTCAACCTGGACTCGCCAACCGGGCTGGTGGCGTGGACGAGGCCACAGCCCAGCATCGTGGACGCCTTGGCTTTGTGGCCGGTGTGATCAACCGCGAGCGCGTGTTCGCCTTCGAAAGGATGTTGTGGCGCATCTCGCGTGGCAATGTGTTCCTCAAGCGTTCCGACCTGGACGAGCCGCTGAATGATCCTGCCACGGGTCATCCCATCTACAAGACCGTCTTCGTGGCCTTCTTCCAGGGCGAGCAGCTGAAGAACCGCATCAAGAAGGTGTGCACTGGTTTCCACGCCTCGCTTTACCCTTGTCCCAGCTCGCACAACGAGCGCGAGGAGATGGTGCGCAACGTGCGCACTCGCCTGGAGGACCTAAAGCTCGTCCTCAGCCAGACGGAGGATCATCGCAGCCGGGTCCTGGCCACCGTGTCCAAGAACCTGCCCTCGTGGTCGATCATGGTCAAGAAGATGAAGGCCATCTACCACACGCTCAATCTGTTCAACATGGACGTGACCAAGAAGTGCCTGATCGGAGAGTGCTGGGTGCCCACCAAGGACCTGCCCATTGTCCAGAAGGCTCTCTCTGACGGATCTGCTGCCGTGGGCAGCACCATTCCCTCGTTCCTCAATGTGATCGATACCAACGAACAGCCGCCGACCTTCAACAGGACCAATAAGTTCACTCGCGGATTCCAGAACTTGATCGATGCCTACGGTGTGGCCTCCTACAGGGAGTGCAACCCCGCTCTGTACACCTGCATCACCTTCCCCTTCTGTTCGCCGTGATGTTCGGCGATCTGGGCCACGGCCTCATTCTGGTTCTCTTTGGCGCCTGGATGGTTCTCTCCGAGAGGAAGCTGGCCCGCATCCGTAACGGTGGCGAGATCTGGAACATCTTCTTTGGCGGTCGCTACATCATCCTGTTGATGGGTCTGTTTGCCTGCTACACCGGATTGGTTTACAACGACATCTTCTCCAAGTCGATGAACCTGTTTGGATCGCGCTGGAGCAACAACTACAACACCTCCACAGTCCTGAGCAATCCCAGCCTGCAGATGCCCCCCAATAGCTCCGCCAACGGCGTCTATGCCTTCGGCATGGATCCCGTCTGGCAGCTGGCCGACAACAAGATCATCTTCCTGAACAGCTTCAAAATGAAGCTCTCGATCATCTTTGGTGTGCTGCACATGGTGTTCGGCGTGTGCATGTCCGTGGTTAACTTCACCCACTTCAAGCGTTACGCTTCCATCTTCCTGGAGTTTGTGCCCCAGATCCTCTTCCTGCTGCTGCTCTTTGGCTACATGGTGTTCATGATGTGAGTAGGCTTGAAAGTGTCCTCAAAATGACTGCTTCTAATTCTTGATTCTCGTTTAAAGGTTCTTCAAGTGGGTTAGCTACAACGCCAAGACAGACATCCAGGCCGAGACACCCGGCTGTGCTCCGTCCGTCCTGATTATGTTCATCAACATGATGCTGTTTAAGAACACACCACCGTTCAAGGGATGTAACGAGTTCATGTTTGAATCGCAGCCGGATCTGCAGAAGGCCTTCGTGCTCATCGGTCTGTGCTGCATTCCCTGGATGCTGCTCGGCAAGCCACTGTACATCAAGTTCACCCGCAAGAACAATGCTCATGTAGGTTTTCCTCAACACGAAATCTGTTCCTCTTAAGCATAAAATTAACTTTTTATTTCTTTCGCCCGGACAGGCCAAGCACAATGGTCAGCTAACCGGCAACATGGAGCTGGCCGAAGGCGAGACCCCTCTGCCCACAGGCTTCTCTGGAAACGAGGAGAACGCAGGAGGCGCCCACAGTCACGACGATGAGCCGATGAGCGAGATCTACATTCACCAGGCCATCCACACCATCGAATATGTGCTCAGTACCATCTCGCACACGGCCTCATATCTCCGTCTCTGGGCTCTGTCCCTGGCCCATGCCCGTAAGTGCTCTTGTGGTTCTGTTTGATGGTTTCTCTACTAATCCCTTGTGCGTTGCAGAGCTCTCCGAGGTGCTGTGGAACATGGTGTTGTCTCTGGGTCTGAAGATGTCCGGAGTGGGCGGCGCCATCGGACTCTTCCTCATCTTTGGCGCCTGGTGCTTGTTCACTTTGGCCATCCTCGTTCTGATGGAGGGTCTGTCCGCCTTCCTGCACACCCTGCGTCTGCACTGGGTGGAGTTCATGAGCAAGTTCTACGAGGGTCTGGGCTACGCCTTCCAGCCCTTCAGCTTCAAGGCCATCCTGGATGGCGAGGAGGAGGAGTAGAGAGTTCAAGCCACGAAAATATGTATACAATTATCCAGCGAGCTTTGTTTTCCCAACAGCCCACAGATATGATTTGAATTGTTTGTTAAATGTTTTTGTTTTGTTTTTTTCTGTTCTCGGATATCGTCAGTATTGTGGTGCTCTTCCCACATTTTTGTATCCTCCCCGTTTTTGTATTCCACCTGTTGTCCAAAAGTATTTCACCTTCTAGCCCGGAGTTGTGCCTAGTATTCTCAAAAGAAAAACTGTTTCAAAAGCAATAATTTGATATTCATTGTTATAAATAATTAACTTATGCAAAATAAATTAATTGTAATAAATAAACATACAGCAAAGAAGAGAACAGCAAAATGTGGATTTATTTGTGGATGATTGTGGTTAGACGTTAACAGCTCTAACAAATTCTTTAGTTACAAAATTACAATTACAGCAATGATTTTTCTTTTCTCTATTGCTTAATATGACAGCATAGATCGGACAGAGAAATTTGCTAAAACCCGAAAAACCAACAAAATTGAAATTTATCATTTTTATACCCTTACATGGTACTATAATTTGAGTGAGAAGCTTGGATTGCAGTGAATAAATCATTTCCGACCCTATAAATCATATATATTCTTGATCAGCATGATCAGCCGAGACGATCTAGCTAGTCTGGCCGAAATCTATTTTTTTCAAAATTTTGGAAATTTTTAAAATTTTATAGGGGTTACATCGTTAAAATTAGCAAAAATTGATAAAATTTTTAATTTTCTAGAATTATAGAGTATGCAGTTTTATTAACCTGATAAATACTAGCATAAGATAGCTTTCCGAATTGAAATTAATGCTTTTTTGGCTTAGTTATGAGTTTTTTGTCCTATAAAAATATAGATATATGTATATTTATTCAAAGAATGCGAATATTTTAAGATTAGTTTTGACCGATTCCGATTCAATCCTATTATCAATGGCAAACTGCAAGGGTATATAAACTTCTCGAAGTAAGTTTCCTTGCTCGTTTATATTTACAAACATTCACATTTAATCCGAAGCATATAAATAAAAATTATTAAAATATTTTATTTGCGGTACACTTTTTACATTATTAAAGGTCACTACTGTATATACACTAATGTCTAGGTACACAATTTATATGATAAGTACCTAGAGTTCCCTCTGAAATCAGTTTGTAATTGCCTGGCAATTGGTTTTTAATTCCAAACTGACTGAGAACTATCAGCTGATAAGCAAAAAAAAAGGCTGGCAGGGAGGAAAGGCATCCGGGGAAATGGACATTCATTCCATCACATTGATGGATGGCTCCATGGGGCATAGGAGTCCCCCAAATATTTATCCAAGGCAGACTGATAAGTCGGCAAAGTAGGTGCTCGTGGGTCAGCGCCAGTCTTCCTCGTCCAAGTCACTTGACCAGACCGATCAGTCGTCCGTCAGCAGCGCTCCGAATGTGTGGAGCCCAACTCCGGAATATTATTTACTCGTCGAAGGAGCAACAGGATCTGTGAACATGTCCAAGTGGTGGAGCTGGGGCTCCAAACAGGAGAGCAACAGCATCTTCCGCAGCGAGGTGATGTCCTTGGTGCAGATGTATCTGCAGCCAGAGGCAGCCTACGATACGATTGCCGCATTGGGTGAAGTGGGATGTGTCCAGTTCCGTGACGTAAGTGAAGGGGGGGGGGGGGGCAAGAGCAAGGTCTTTTTCTGATTGAAATTCGTATCCTTTTTGATTCGAAATAAAGATGAACGAGAAGGTCAATGCCCAGCAGCGCAAGTTCGTCGGAGAGGTGAGGCGCTGCGATGAGCTCGAGCGTCGTATCCGTTAATAACCTCCGAGCTGGCCAAGGAGGGTCACAAGGCGCTCGACCTCATCGACGACTTCCCGCCGGCGCCACAGCCACGAGAGATTATCGATCTGGAGACCCATCTGGAGAAGACAGAGACGGAGATCATGGAGCTGGCTGCCAACAATGTGAATCTGCAGACGAGCTTCCTTGAGTTAACCGAGATGATCCAAGTGCTGGAGCGCACCGATCAGTTCTTCTCGGACCAGGAGTCCCACAACTTTGACTTGAACAAGAAGGGAACGCACCAGGATCCGGAGCAGTCCAACGGCCGCCTGGGCTTCGTGGCCGGAGTGATCAACAGGGAGAGGGAGTACGCATTCGAGCGGATGCTGTGGCGCATCTCGCGCGGCAATGTCTTTGTTCGCCGCTGCGAGGTGGACGTTCCCCTGACGGACCCCAAGACCGGCAGTGTGCTCCACAAGAGTGTCTTTGTGGTCTTCTTCCAGGGCGATCAGCTGCAGGGCAGGATCCGCAAGGTGTGCACCGGTTTCCACGCCCACATGTACCCCTGTCCCAGCTCGCATGCCGAGCGTCAGGAGATGGTGAAGAATGTGAAGATTCGCCTGGAGGACCTCCAGGCAATCATCAACCAAACGAGCGACCACAGGACCTGTGTGCTCCAGGCGGCCCTCAAGCAGCTGCCCAAATGGTCAGCCATGATCAAGAAGATGAAGGCCATATACCACACGCTCAATCTGTTCAACGTCGATCTTGGCAGCAAGTGTCTCATTGGCGAGGGCTGGGTGCCCAAGCGAGAGCTGGAGCAGGTGGAAATGGCCCTGGCCGCAGGATCAGCCAGTGTGGGCAGCACGGTGCCCTCGTTCATCAATATACTGGACACCAAGAAGGAGCCGCCGACCTACTTCCGGACGAACAAGTTCACTCGCGGATTCCAGAACCTAATCGATGCCTACGGAATAGCCGGTTACCGAGAGGTCAATCCGGGCCTGTACACCTGCATCACCTTCCCCTTTCTGTTTGCCGTGATGTTCGGCGACATGGGACACGGCACAATCCTCTTCCTGTTGGGCCTCTGGATGGTTGTAGACGAGAAGCGGCTGAGCAAGAAGCGGGGCGGCGAGATCTGGAACATCTTCTTCGCCGGTCGCTACATCATCATGCTGATGGGTCTGTTTGCCATGTACACAGGCTTCCACTACAACGACATCTTCTCCAAGTCCTTCAACGTGTTCGGCAGTCGCTGGGTTAATGTCTACAATCGAACCACTGTCCTGACCAATCCCACCCTGACACTCAATCCCACGGTGGCCGCGCGCGGTGTCTATCCAATGGGCATCGATCCGGTCTGGCAGTCGGCCTCCAACAAGATCATCTTCCTGAACACCTACAAAATGAAGCTATCGATCATCTTCGGGGTGCTGCACATGACCTTTGGCGTCTGTCTGTCGGTGGAGAACTTTGTGTTCTTCAAGAAGTACGCCTACATCATCCTGCAGTTCGTGCCTCAGGTCCTGTTCCTGCTGCTCATGTTCGGCTACATGTGCTTCATGATGTTCTACAAGTGGGTCAAGTACAGTCCCACCACAGATGTGGTGGCCGATTCCCCTGGATGTGCTCCCTCTGTCCTGATCATGTTCATTGACATGGTGCTCTTCAAGACGGAGACAGCCTCCCGGGCTGCGATGCCAGCATGTTCCCCATCCAGCGACAGTTGGAGACGATATTCCTCGTGATTGCCCTTATCTGCATCCCCTGGATCCTGCTCGGCAAGCCTCTGTATATTAAGTTCCAGCGCCGCAACAGGGTGAGTCTGACTAGCTAGGTGCGGTAAGAGGTGACCTAATCCTGCATCTGGGTTCTTTCTGCAGCCCGTTGGACCCGTGGAGGATGAGATCGTGGAGAAAATTGAGATCACCACGGGCAAGGAGATCATCATTACGGAAGTGGCCGAGGCACACGAGTCGGGCGGACACAGCGAAGACGACGAGCCCATGAGCGAGATCTGGATCCACCAGGCCATCCACACCATCGAGTACATCCTGAGTACCATCTCGCACACGGCCTCCTATCTGCGTCTCTGGGCTCTGTCCCTGGCCCATGCCCGTACGAATTTTCTCCTGAGTCTATCAGGGATTCCCTATTAATTTGGATTTGCTTTGCAGAGCTCTCCGAGGTGCTGTGGACCATGGTGCTGGCAATGGGTCTGCAGACCACCGGCTATGTGGGCTCCATCTGGATTTTCCTTATCTTCGCCGTCTGGGAGTTCTTCACCATCGCTATCATGGTGATGATGGAGGGTCTGTCCGCCTTCCTGCACACCCTGCGTCTGCACTGGGTGGAGTTCATGAGTAAGTTTTACGAGGGAGCCGGCACCCCTTCACGCCCTTCTGTTTCCGGGACATCTTGGTCGTCATCGAAGATGATTAGAAGGGTTTTTCCGGCGGACATTTTAAATGTGTCGCCTGTTTTTAGAATATTTAATAAAGAGAAGCATACCACAAAAGCAGAAAGTGTCTTAATTGTTATATTAAATTATATACATATATTTAACTTTTTTTTAAGATTTAGCTTTAAATATAGAGAACCAGCAGAGAAATGTAGAATTTGACTTATTTTTAAGATCGCATTTGATATATTTTTCACTCATTGCCTAATTTTCGCTTTAGAAGTTTAATATTAAACTTGGACTTTTACTAATGGTATGTTTACTGGTGACAAAATTAACAGAAAATTTTAAAATAGGCAGTAAAAGCACATACATCAACGACGGTTTAGAAACTCGGTGTAGGTGGTCCAAGTTTTTCACCCAGTATTTCAGCCAAAGTTTCGCACCTTACTGTTCGATATATCGATTAGACCTCGACAGTATCGATAGTACCGACATTATTTTCGAATTTTTCTTTATGCTTTTCGTATCATGCGTTTGTTTTGCTTCGCTTCATTCATTACGTTTTCAACTCAAAATCCGAACGGAGCGCGCGCGAGTTCTTTCCGTGAGCGCTGAAATTAATTAATTGTGAGCCAATGTGCACGTGTATGTGTGTGCTTGTCAGCGGCGGTGCGTGTGCGGGAGTGAGAACGTAAATTATTGGCTGAGCGGCCAACTCCCAAATCGAGAACAGAGCGGCAAAGAAAAGGAAAACAACGTAAAATGCATTTGTGACAATTCTGCGCGGAATGCAGCTTTGTGCAATAATAATCATTTCTTGAAATCGGTTCGGCGAAATCTGTAGCGAAATGCTTCTGCTGGCGGCGCTTTTATTGTGAAAACGAATTTCAACTACGTGTTGCTCTTTCTGTTGCCTAATTTTCGGTTTTGTTGTTTTTATTTTCGCAAACGAAAGTCTGCCGCTCTGCATGTGTGAGTGGTGATCGTGTACACGTACACGACAGTGTCTGTGTTGGTGGTAAAAGTCGGCGCCGAAAACAGAAGCAACAACAAGAAAAGCCTCCAAGATGACTGTGTGGAGCGATTGCAATGCCAAGCAGGCATTCGGCATTGGTGAGTTAACAATTTTTAGGGGGAAATCAAACATATAAATAAATTGGCTAGATTACGGCCCACGAAGAATGTTTAAACAAAGTGCTTTGTAAACAAGCGTGAAGGAGAGGTTTATGGGCTCCTTCCGAGAACTCTCTCTCTCTCTCTCTCGCGCAGCGCCCCATGTGCCTGCCCCCCTGCTGCGTTTGCTACGGTAAAACTTGTTGCACCTTCTCGCTTGCACACGCGGCGTCCATGCCGTCGATCTTTCTTTCTATCCCTCGCACCGTAATTTCGTTTTTCTTTCAATTTCATCCTGTTTTTCCAGCCTCTGCCTCATTCCACACACAGCGAGGCAACACTAGCACAGAATTCTGAGATTTGCTCTTGAAACGAAAACCTGTTTTCTATCGTCTGCCTGTCTGTTCGCATCCTCCCTGCGCCTCTTCTCGCTCTCCCTCTCGATGTGCATTCGCTTGCAACGCCTATTACACTCACAGAAAAGGTGCTCGATCCCGATTCATTGGCAGTGACCATGAAATATCTAATCGCGGGTCGCACTCACAATACGTGTGAATTTTTTATGGGACCCGCTTTGTCGCTCCGTTGACCTTTTCTCCTCGATCCGTAGATACGACAGGTACAGATTATGAGGTACAGGTACAAGCGCGATTGAGCGGAACTCGAAAATCACTCGCTTCGAATTGTTTGCACTTGTTGCTTACACATGTCAGCCTTTAACTTTTTTTTTCGTCGTGTTTGTGCTCATGCTAACTGTCGAAATACCCGATAATAGATAGTGGAGGGCGTGGCCGGGGGAGTGCAGCCGTAAAAAGTAAATACGAATATGGGCCGTGAGATAAGTTATTATTTATTATTATTTGACATTGGGGCTGTAGTTTTGGCCCCTGTAAATGCGAATTGCCTTACAGAATGCATGGAATTCGAGTGGAAACTCCTTATCAGCCAGCTCTTGTCTTATCGCGCTCCTTTTGTGCTGCTCTGCGTCTTAAGAACTCTCGAATACTAAGCTTGAATGCCGACAAAATTACATTTTGGCTGTCCAGTGGGAGATGCGTTGATCTGGCCGCTTTGCTTGGCAGCTCATCCATTTTGCTTATTAAAACTTTAATTATAACTGGACGAAGGCCGGTAAACATTGAGTAATCGCTTTATCTTTTTATGAGCCTCATTTCGGTTATCGTCTATTGATCGACGGCCAGTGCGTGTGTGTTAGTGTGTACAAGTGCGAGTGAAATTATTTTCATTGAAGAGGGAGTGAGTGTTTCGCATGCCTCCTGCCTGGCAGTACTTACTCTCTCATCCACTCACTCGCACTTGAAGAGATTCTGTTGCACTATGCACATCTTCAAGTTGCACTCCTTCCTCCGCTCCTCATTCCCTGCCACCCACGGACAGGCTTTGACGATTCGTCGTCTGCTTGTAGACCAAGTTAAAAGTTTGCCCTGCGGTGACATCTTCACTTCTTTGGTGCACTACTCCACTGTTCATTGCCTCTACACCTGCAGCCGCCAGCCCTGCTTCTATTTACTCACCCCAAGGTGCACAAGGGGCACTACTGCACTCGTGCATTCTGCTTCTAAATTTGAATAGCAACAACAAGCAACCGCGTTAATAATAAATACAACAACATGCAGCAGCGAGGGCCAGAGCAGGAAAGTAAACATAAAACTTAATGAACCTGAGAGAGGGAGCTAGGGGGATAGAGCGGAGCCTCGGAGTTGATTTGGTTTCTGATTTCAGAGTCTCGCTTTTCTCAATTTAATTAAAATTTTCCAGCTCGTTGGAGTTTGAGATGCATGAAATGTGCCTTTTGATTTGCATAATTTCAAAGGAAAGTCTTTAATTTTCTCCCGACTACCTTTTTTCACACTTTGAGTGAAAACTTGATTAAATTTGGCTAGGAAAAGGCTTTAATATAATCTAGATCTGGTTTGCTCAGATTTCTAATTTTTATAACTTTCATGTGAGGTATAACTTTTTCTCTTTACTAGATAAATCACAGAATTTATAAGACATATCTTATATATCTGTGGTAGAAACCCTGCCTCCACATTTGAACACAACAAGATAATGTTGCTAAACCGAACGAGAGAGTCCCCCGATATGTGTTATCATGTGGCAGATGCCCTTCCCTTCGGGCAGCTGTATAAAGTGTTTGCACTGCTGACTCAGCTCAGACCACTCATCCCTCGGATTCAGCCATCCTCCGGAGCACTAAGATTGAAGTTTGAAGTTAAGCAACTGGCCACTTGAGTTTCTGATTCCACTTGGAACACCACCACCCCCCATCAACCCTGTACTGCAGCGAATCTCCGCTTTCCATTTCGCAATCAAATGGAAACTCAATCGTATGTAGTCCACCCCATGCCGGAGATTGCCAATGTCGGAGATTGTCGCATTTGTGGATTCCCCCTTATGCTAATTGACCGAGTGCAATCTTCGATTGCTCTCCGAAATGGCTTAATTAAACATAAATTGCTTGCCACGGGATCGAAGGCGATCGGGCGGCTGGAAACTGAGAGCTGAGAGGAGGAGAAGGTGGCTGCGTCATTGGGGCACAGTGCGTCATCCGGTGTCAGTAGAAACTGGTTTCAGCTGCACCAGAAACGTGAGCTGGGGTTGCAAAGGTTGTCCGGTTGTCCGGTTCCATTGAAATATTTTCAACAGTCGTAGCTTCTCACATTTGATCGGATTTTTATCAGCAAAATGTATCAAGTTCAATAAGGTCTATCAGGTTTAAGGCAAAGTATCCTAATAATAGAATTCCAGCAGAACCATTAAAGTTAAAGATCATAAGAATGTAATTCTAGTAAAATATACATATACTTCAAAATAGTCCCACATGACATTATTTTAGGGAATAGCTACTCCAACCGAGCAGTTAACCTTACTTGTTCAAAAAGTCATAAAACCAATTTGAGATTGTTTTGAGTGATTTCCTCAAATGTCCCAAATAGGTCAAGTTTGTGTTTACATTTCCTCTTCTGTCTTTTTGTTGCTCCGCAATTTTTTATGGCTCTGCTCCGTAATAATAACGCACTTTTTTTATTGTCGAAATTCTTTTCTTTGGTTTCTAATTGTATCTAGATACTTTTTACGACCGCAGCGACATTAACCGTAACTGTCAACGGCCCAGCGTTCCAAGCGGTTGTGCAAGTATTTTTATAAATTTATGTGCCATCAAATATTGTCATTATCTTTGAGGGTTCTAGAGGAAGGGGCTGCCGGTGGGTTACGGCTTGAGGTTTACCCAATTGGTTATATGCTTGATGAACAATTCCATTTCGGCAAGCCCAAAAATATGTCTAATGTGCAGAGGAGGGGACAAACAGATATACTTGTATGCCAAAATAATCACTTCTTCTGTCAATCAAAATGATTAATATATCTATAAATAGTATTATTTTATTTGATTTAAATTTTGATCTAATTCCAAGGAAATAATAAAATAATCTTATAATCAGCAACAGGTAAAACCAATCGATCAGAAGTACATAAAGGCGTTTCCAATAGTTCACTTTAGATTATTCTTAATTTATATTCCGCTTTTAGCTCTCAACTTTGATTGTATTGTAATGCTAAATAATTAATTCCAATATCTAATTACAAATTCCACTCAGCATCTGCAATTAGCCGCATCTGGAAATTCAAAATAAACAATAGAGAGAACTCCCACCGCTCTCCATCCATTATTTTTGGTATCCATATTAATTTCACCCCACTCCCGCTTGGAGATCTCCTCCGCCACTTGTAATTAGTCAATGCCAGAGCATCTTAACCGATGAGAATCATTATAATTAACCCTCGAAACCGTTCCTCAGGCTTTGGGCAATTAAAGACGCATATGTGGAAAAGTGTATATATAGAGATATATAGCTTCAGGGGCTTAGCTCATAGGAGCACAGCTAATGCTCGGATATTTATACTTCGGATACGGTGTGAGAGCTTCAAACAAGCCTCTGTTTCTGTACAGAGAACAA